GTGGTCCACAGATCCCTAAAGTTAAAGGGCCAGCAGCAATAAAATACCACTTTTATATACTAAATTAAAAACTACTGCTAAATTAAACATTATTTTTTTCCATGTTTACTACTACTTCTATCCATAACTGACTAGGGATTAATTTGGTAAAAAGACATACAAACATGAGAAAATACAAAACTAATAATCTCATTTTTAGCAGTTTCATTGGATGCACAAGCATAACCCTGTTTTAACTTACTCGTCTGGATTCTTGCCTGTGTTGGCATATGGGTTCTCTCTCATTGCTCTTGTTTTGGGATCATAATAAGCAGAGTTTGGATCTAGATTCCTCAAGTATTTTGCGATATCTTCCCGAATACGTAAATTTTGAACTGTGATGCGTCTTTTAGAGTCAAAGTTCTGCCCAGGCATATCAATGTCATCTGCACATTTATCCTCATCTTCACTGTTACGATCCCGTTCTGTCTGTGCATTTGGTTCCTCTTCTCCCCACTGGTGTCTTGGGGAGTTCACTTGCTCCAGCTTTCCTGATGCCAACTCCTCCTGCAGCTTCTGGGCTTTCAGTGTACGTTTGGCCAAATCAACCTTGGAATACTCCTCTACAATCTTCATATGCTCTTCTGGGTTATAACCATTCCAGCGATCCCGCTTTCCATCATAATCAAACATCAGCTGAGGCTGCACATGTTCATCTGGTGCAATATTCATGCCTGTGTATTTTGCTCCAACTTTCCTAGGTCTCTCCACGCAGTCCTTCTTCTTGTGTGTCAGGGCACCGCAGTTCCCGCAGGCTCCCTCGCGGTACCTGGTTCCCACCGCATGCTCCTGGACTCCTCGTTTGTACCAGTCTCCAGAAGAGCTGCACTGTTTCCGCTTCTCTGGCTGAGGTCTCTGATGTTTCAGTGTTGGTCTTTTAGAAGAATCTATGTACCACGGCACTGAAGATATGTACTGAGGAATATGAGGATTTATATCTTTTCCTTCTTCATCCACTTCAGCAGGTGCATTTCCTAGTTTTCTTTGTTCTTCCAATTCTTTCTTCTTCCTCCAGTCTTCCCTTGTCATCTTCTTGGGTTCCTGCAGGCTCACACCGTATGACCCCCCGCAGGAAGGGC